CTACCAACGACAAAAAAAAACCTACCAATTTTGGTAGGAAAAGCAAAACGGCAACCCTTATTGCATCGACAACTCAACAAATGACGCCCGTTATTAGAGTTTTCGCGAACAGTGCGGTCGTGTGGTAGATAAAGTAAAAATCGCTTGTCTGGAAAGCATTTAGAAAAGTTTTTGTTCCTTGGCCGTGTGCTCCAATAGCTATTTTCATAAATATTTTGTGAATAATATACTTATATGAAGTCATATATGTAATTATAACTAATAGATATTGCTCCTCAGCAATGTACCAAAAAAACAATAAATTTTTTTTTTTTCATAAATAGTTTGTAAATGATGTAGTGCGCTACATACTTATAGGGGGTGACCGTATGGATAAGTGTCGGTGCAAATTAATTTTAGTTACTTTTTATAAAAAAAATATAGTTAATTCTATTAAAAAAACCATGTAAATTCAAGTTTCAAACTTTGTACAAAAATTAGAAGAAAATCCAAGTTTCATCAAAATTAAACACTTTTCATTCAGAATAAATAGTGTTTTGATGAAAACGTATTAGCGCAAAAGAGAAGGCACGAGTTGTCCCTTCTTATAATCTACGTTCTTTGATGAAACTTTGTTGATTTGTTTTCTAATTTTTGAACAAAGTTTAAAACTTGGATCAACAAGGTTTTTGTTATAGAATGAACTATATTATTTATTAAAAAAGTAATTAAAACTAATTTTAAAATAACAACAAAAATATAAATCCGAAATTATACATATTGGGTGACCTATACACTCATATGACTGATAAAATTATAACCAATACTGTGTCTTGGTAATGTGGCACAAATATTAATTAACAATTATTTTGTATTCTTACTAAATAACTTAAATGTAAACGTTTAATATACCTGCAAATTTATCGGCTTTTTATTTGATTTTGACATAATTTTTTTTAAATCATGATAAGATGTAATCATAAGACCTTTTACAACAAAAAAAGGGAAGTATCTCTCGAAAGAGAATATGAAAACGATTCAAGTAAGTCCTCGATAATTTGCCGATACTGCGTAGGTATCGTTACTTTTAGTCTTTTGAGTACAAGTACTCATTAGAGTGATAACTTAGTGGTATCGATTGAACCCTATATGTACCACATGGACCCAGTTATTCCAGAGCACCATTTCTTCTTCTTCTTCTTTTTGGCACAGTAACCGCCTAAGCGATTTTGGCCGAGTTCAGCAAAGTATGCCAGTCGTTTCTCCTCTGTGCCAACTGACGCCAATTGGAAATGCCAAGTGAAGCCAAGTCCTTCTCCACCTGATATTTCCATCGCAGTGGGCGCCTCCCTCTTCCTCTGCTACCAACAGCGGGTTCCGAGTTGAACACTTTCAGAGCTGGAGCGTCGGTGTCCATTCGAACGTCATGGCCAAACCAGCGGAGCCGCTGTATTTTAATTCGCTGCACTATGTCCGTGTCGTTGTAAAGGTCATACAGCTCATCGTTCCATCGTCTGCGGTACCCGCCGTCGCAAACGCGTAAAGGCCCGTCTCTTCGGATGTTGTCATTGACCATGCTTCTGCGCCATATACCAGCACGGGCATGATGAGTGACTTATAGAGTCGACATAAGCCAGCAATTGCACGCTCTTGTAGTAAGTTGTTCCTGAGCGGTTCAGTTCTGCAGCTCTTATTATCTTCCCCAACATCAGATTAAAGAAGTCACATGAAAGGGAGTCGCCCTGTCTGAAACCCCGTTCTGTTCGGAGAGGTCTTTCCCAATTCTGACGGAGCTGGTGGTATTACTCAACGTCATTTTACACAGCCGTATGAGTTTTGAGGGGATGCCAAATTCAGACATGGCGGCGTATGGACAACTCCTTTTAGAGCTGTCAAAAGCGGCTTTAAAGTCGACAAAAAGGTGGTGAGTGTCGATCCTTTTCTCGCTGGCCTTTTCCAAGATTTGGCGTATTGTGAATACCTGTTCTATGGTGGATTTGGCAGGTCTAAAGCCACACTGATAAGGTCCAATCAGCTCGTTTACGATGGGCTTCAGTCTTTCGCACAATACACTCGATAATACCTTATAACCTATGCTTAGAAGGCTGATTCCGCGGTAGTTGGCGCGAATGGCGGGGTCACCTTTCTTGAGGATAGCGCTGAGCACACTTAAATTCCAGTCGTCGGGCATGCGTTCATCTGACCATATTCTGCATAAGAGGTAATGCATGCACCTTATCAACTCCTCTCCGTCGTACTTGAATAGCTTAGCTGGCAAGCTGTCAGCTCCAGCAGCTTTGTTGTTTTTCAGCCGCGTTATTGCTATACGTACCTCGTCATAGTCAGGCGGTGGAACGTCGAATCCGTCATCATCGACTGAGGGCTCGGGTTTTTCTTCTCCACAACTTTTCGTGCTGCTACCATTTAGTAGGGTGGAAAAGTGTTCCCTCCATAATTTAAGTACGCTCTGGACATCAGTTACTAGGTCGCCATTATTGTTCTTACAGGAGTACGCCCCAGTCGGTAAACCTTCCGTAAGTCGCCTAACTCTCTGGTAAAACTTTCGGGCATTCTTCCTGTCGGCCAGTATTTAAAGCTCTTCGTACTCACGTATTTCGGCCTCTCTCTTCTTATTGCGGCAAATATGTCTTGCTTCCCTCTTCAGATCCCTATAGCGGTCCCACATAGCGCGCGTTACGCCCGACCGCAGCGTGGCCCTGTAGGCGGCATCTTTTTTCTCTGCAGCTTCCTGGCACTCCTCATCGTACCAGTTGTTCTTTCGGGCTCGCTGAAATCCGACTACTTCTTCGGCGGCGTTACTTAATGATCAGGAAATGTGGTTCCACTGATCGCATATGTTGGTTTGTTGAAGAGAGCTCTCTGAGAGCAGGTATGAGAGTTGAGTAGCGAAAGCGCTGGCTGTCTGTTGTGATTGCATCTTTTCGACGTTAAGCTTTCCTTGCATATTTGGGCGCACATTTTTTGCTGCACAGAGGCGGTGCGTATCTTGGCTGCAACAAGATAGTGGTCCGAGTCGATGTTTGGGCCTCGGAGTGTGCGTACGTCTAAAACACTGGAAGCGTGCCTTCCGTCTATCACAACGTGATCGATTTGGTTTCTCGTTTCTCGATCCGGAGACAGCCACGTAGCTTGATGGATCTTTTTATGCTTAAACCTAGTACTGCATACTACCATGTTTCGGGCCCCGGCGAAGTCGATCCTTGCCCACCCTGGCATTGAAACCGCCAAGCATGATTTTGATATCATGACGGGGGCAGCGCTCGTACGTGCGCTCCAAGCGCTCATAGAAGAGATCCTTGGATGCCTCATCATTCTCTTCAGTCGGGGCATGGGCGCAGATAAGCGAGATGTTGAAGAATCTCGCTTTGATGCGGATTGTGGCTAAACGCTCGTCCACCGGGGTGGACGACAGTACTCGGCGACGGAGTCCTCTCCCACCACAAATCCAACTCCGAATTTGCGCTCCTTTACATGGCAGCTGTAGTAGACGTCGCAAGGCGCCAGACATTGCTTGCATTGCCCCGTCCAACGCATTTCTTGCATGGCGGTGGTGTCAGCTGTTGTCCCTACGAGGACATCAACCAGCCGGGCAGAGGCACCTTCCCCATTAAGGGTCCTGACATTCCAGGTGCATGCCCTCAAATCGTAGTCTTTAAACGTTTGCCGTGGTCGTCTTCATAAGGGGGGGGGGGGTCTCACCCGAGGCTTTGCCTTGCTTCTTCACTAGAAGTGGTTTTTACGCACAACCCATTGCCGGGACGGGTATGGGTTTGCAACCAAATACGCGTATATATAGCGAGACGCTTGCTCCAAGCAGACACCCGCTTACAGCCGCACCTACTGGTGAACAGACGCTGCAGACTTCAGTGAGCCCTTAAACCGAATAAGTCGGAGTAGCCCCACCGAAGCTCCCTCTCTTTCTGCCGTGACCCAAGGCTCCACTCGGATTGGTTACCGCATCTCGCACATTGGTTGCTTACGTTGCCCAGAGCGCGCGTACGAGGACGCAAGAGTCGGGATTGAGTATAGCCATGCAACTGTAACTGCATACCCAGAGCACCAACTATACCCCACTGCACTCAGAAGTGAACTAGTGTTATTTTATTATTATTCTTTTTTCTAAACAGCTATAATGCCACCAGTGCATAATTGCGAAACAGGGGGCCGCGAGCGCGAGAGCGGGCGCGTCGTCGAACGCAGCGCGGCGCGGTGTGGCGCAGGGCGGCACGTCCATCCTTCTTTGCACGAAAAACTTGTGCGCTTACCCTAAAAAGCGTTTAAGCGAATTTTCTTTACTTCTTCAATGAGGAAGGTATCCGAATCCCTATGAAACGTAATATTGGAGGAGCGCTTACCACGTAGAAATTACTGCAAGCGATATTTTTTCCGAATGGTATCTAATTATCCATTTAACTATGTACATAAAATGATAGCCATTTTCGTTGTTCTGCGAGAAAAGCTAAATAAATAAAAGATTGTAAAATTAGTGTAAGTGTAGAGCCAGTGCAGGTAAACGTAATACTTTCTTTCATTTTCAATAATAGTTCAAAATTTTTAATGCAGGTATCGCTATTGTGCAGGTATGTTGAATCCATCTATTGGAGCAGTTTCCTTATAGATGTTAAAAATAATGCTGCTGATGCGCTGTTTCGGATATGTATCTCAAATGTGCACTTACGCATAAAGACAGCAAAGCAAAATATACTGTACTTAAAAATCCGTTCATTTAACTTGTTCATGTACTACTTTTTGTCATATGTAACTGCTTTATTACTCATTATTAAGTTTAAAAGTTGGTCTTATTGCTCAATAAGCAAATTTGTGTTATTTCACATTCAATTGGGAAATAACACAAATTTGCGTTATTTCCGTTTGTGTTATTTCCAGTTGTATTCCAGTTCTTAAAATATTTAAGGTATTTTGTGACCTTATTTTGAATATTTATCTTTAATATAGCGTTACATTAGCATACAAGTATAATTTAATTAATTCTTTTTTAGCTTCTGTCCCTCTTCGCACCTCTCTGCGTTGACTTTCTGCGTGCGCTGTTTGTACGTTATCTCAATCAACACTGGTGCTGGGATATGGAGAAAACGTTTCCCCAAGTAAGTGCTCTTACACAAATACATGCACATACATTCATACCTTAATTCACAAAGGCCCAACCCAACACTTTTTGAAACTGGGATTTTCACAGATTGTGGTAGGATATATTAAAATACACCATCATTAAAAAATTTATATTGTTAGTACCAAAAACAACGGAGTTATGCCGCTTTTTAAATTGCCCTATCCGTATGTATGCTTGGATTTTGCAATGTTTTTTGCTTGTCCTGTAAAATAACAAATATGCTAGTTAGGGCCTTTGTGAATTAAGGTAACGATATGCATCACTTGGATTCTTCCCTCTCCTCCGTAGTACGGCGACTTCAAAATCGCTGAGAACATTTTGAATTTGATTATCAACCAAGGACAAGTGTGGATGGGTATATTTTTCTCACCCGGTTTGGTGCTAGTCAGCCTTGTCAAATTAATGATTTTGATGTACTTCAGATCTTGGATTGTGCTGACATGCAACGTGCCACACGAGGTAGTATTTAAGTAAGTGCTAAGGAAAAACATATTTCATTGTACCTGCAATATTCGAACTCATGATCATGTCTATATCAAACAGGGCATCCAAGTCTAACAATTTCTACCTCGCTCTACTTCTCACGATGCTCTTCCTCTGTGTGCTGCCGGTGAGTTATGCTATTGTATGGCTACGTCCCTCATGGCACTGTGGACCATTCTCAAATTATAATCGAATCTCAGAATTCGTCACCAATGCGACCAGGGAAGCTCTACCTAAGTAAGTTGAAGGATTTTTTTATTTACATTCCTATTTTCCACTAAAGTCGTTATACATATTGTTTATCCTATCAAACAGGGAGCTTCATAGACCTTTGAGTTATTTGACTTCAGCAAGTACTGTTATACCGCTGCTGCTTCTACTAATCCTGATCATCTATTACCTGGTCTCATTGACGGGCGCGTTGCGGGAGGCTAATCAAGATTTGAGAACACAGCTTCAAAAGGAGCGTGAAGAAGAGCGAAAAAAAATCTTCAAGGTACCTGAAATGAAACCGACTGAGAATAGCGCAGCAGCACTGACCAGCAGATGGCGCAAAGTTCTTGAGGCTTCATCCCCGGTCACACCAACACCACCCCCAGATTTTGAGAGTGAAGAATACAAAAATCAGGCAAGGAAAGGTATGTCAATGGACTGCTGATTGGTGCCATATTTTTTATATTTTTACTCTTATTACTTCAGAACTGATTTCACGTATCATGAAAGAGGCTCTGCGAAAGGGTTCGGCTACCTCGGATGATGATTCCGTTAATAGACATGGCAGGGAAGATGATGATACTGATACTGAACACCACGATTCCCTGCCACATGACGAAGATGGAGGAGACAAGAATTTAGGTTTGACGAAATTGCAACAAATAAGACGAACGCGCAAGCCTTCCCTTATAGACATCGTACAAATTGCCAAGAGCGAGAGGGAGCGAGAGCAACGAGCTTCATTGTCAGTGAAAGAGAGAAGTAAATGTAAGAAAGATAAAGATAAAGAGAAAAACAAGGAAAGAGATGTAGAGAAAGGAGAATATGAAGATCAACCAAAAACAAATAAGGCAGAGAATGGAAAAAATATCGATAAAAGAAAAGAAGCGGCCAAAGGCGAAAGAAATAGACGAAGGGTGGAGAAAGTGGAGGAAGAAAATAATGGAAAGGGAAGAAACAAAGATTTCATTAATGATGAAAATGGTGATGCAGCATTTGATAAGCGCATTTTATATGACAAGGATAATGGAACATTTAAGCTTAATGCTGATAGCAAGAAAACCCAAGCTAAAAAAAAAGCAGGCCAAAATTGCAATGCGCCAACGCAACAATTAGATACCGATAACGATCCCGACACCAACACTCGCATTGTAAATGAACGCAGACAAAGCTTATTGCGTAAAAGAGGCGAGGAAGATCGACCAGCAGATAGCGACAACACTCCATCGCCTTTGATGCCAGATAATCAAAGTACTTCCCTAATCCCACCATCAATCGATGAGGTGAAAAATAGTAACTTCGAAATTATAGATGAGAAACAATGGGAAAACAACTGCGAAAAAGATAGACCACTTCCAAAGCATAGATCAT